AAGACAGTTAATATCTTTTTGCCTTCTTAGAAGAACATGTGGACTGCTACGCTCCAGAGATATATACTGAAAGTCCCACTTACTTTTCTCAAATATTAGATATGGACTTAGATGACCTTAAATTTCCAAGAAATTCTACATTGATTTAATAGGTAGATGCTCTGCTTCTACGTTCTGAAACTGCTGGACTCTCAAGAAGATACTGTTTACTTATTGCAACAATTGGTTTCAAGGGGGCATAAGGTCTCTAAAGACAAACTAATTTTGCCTACATAAGGTAAAATATCTTGTGCATTTAATATCAAAGGATGGACTGTTAATTAATCCTGAACAAATCAAAGGAATTTTAGCTTTCTCGCTTCCAAAAACAAAGAAACAAGAGGATTTTTAGGACTAACAGGTTATTGCAGAAATTGTGTACCAAATTTTTCACTTACTGCTCAACTTCTATATGCTCTGCTCACATTGGATCAACCTGACCTGATCGAATGGACTCCAGAAGGTGAAAAAGCTATAAGTACTTTAAAAACCAACTTAACACAAGCTCCAGCTCTTGTGTTTCAGGATACTCGGACAGAGTGGCGGGACACCGAGGCGATAAGCAGGAAGTAGTGTTTATTGGTGCCGGTACCGGCTCAGTGGATTCACATCCAAAGGCTGAGCCCTGATCACATTGGAGCTTTCCCTTTTATACACGTCTTATACTTCTTCATAGTTACAGACTTGCATGTTCTTTCTATATAAGGAAAGCGTATTTTGATTGGTTTGGGGGCTGTAAGGGGCAGTGAATAACTCTCAACCGTCCTAGGAAGTGGTTAGCTCAGGCCTCCTTGCTACCACACTTGGACACGTTACTTATGATTTGCCATTCTTTCTTTTTGTATCTGAGGATTAAAGAAATACTGTAGAAATGATCACCCCAAAATACCATGATCAACATCAAACTATAAGTTGAAATATATTTCAATGTATCATTTATTTGACCAAATTCATTTTAATAAATACTAGATCCCTTCACTCTTAGTGCCCAGTTTAATTCATTAAAACCATACATGTTTATTAAAGACATTTATAGCTGTCATATCCAAAAAAGAAGGCACAAAAGTTTCAATAAAACATGTGTCACAGTACAAGGGAACAGAAATTGGAAATTTACTGGTAAAAGTTTAGAGAAATGCTGTGGGAGATGCCAAGTAACTTTAACTGAAATTAGGCTCCATCTTCTCAGAGCAATTCCAAAGTCCAAATGGGAAAAAGCAATTGTAGAAAGAATTCTATTACAGCTCAGTGAGGACTCAGGAGTAATTTAGCAACACTGTATAACTGTTACACAGGTTACAAAAAAAAAAAAAAGCAAGCCTAAGAAAGTTAAGTAAAAGCTAAATTCAGTTTAAACTTACTTTGAAAATGTACCTTTCTGATTTTTCTTCTATATGTTTAGATTAGGTACATAAAATTCATTTTTCTTTTATATATTTCATATCAGATACATCGGCTCTTGATCAAAGCTGGAGGCATCCTGTTGGACTGCAGTCCTGAAAAGGCATCTCTATATGGTTAACCAAAGTAATGTGGTTCAAGCATTCAGTAAATACATATTTTTAGAACATCTACTTCATGTCATGTTCTATGAGGACAGAGCAGAGACAGAGGCAAACATTAACCCTGCTCTGTCTTGCAGCTTTCAAGTTACCTGCTTAGATATGAAGTTCATACAGGCCTGCCTAGGGATTCTTTTCTTCCAAGCAGTCAGATTTTCCAGATTGAAATAACATCCTTAGCAGTAGACAGCTGACAAATTTGTGGCTGCCCAGCATCTTTTGAGTACTCTTCCTATATCTGAAGATTTTCTCCAAGATACAATTCCTGCCTCCCTAAGACAGAGGCCAGAACTCAACTGCCCAGCCTTTCTCAAAATTAGAGCACAGGCAATGACCTAGGTGTTGCCAATTGGGACCCACCTAATTCTGATTCAGAAGAGAGCAAAATCAAGGATGCAAGCTTCCTGAAGAATCCATTTTCAAGGGAGGTGAGGGTGAAATAAACTGGCTTTCCACAGCAGTGTTAATGAAGCGTTTGGCATCAAGTGTCCAGTGGTATAAACTGTGGTGCTGTGTAACTGCTGCTGCCCCACTGTGTCTGGCTTTGTGGATTGTAGGCCTCTCTGACCACACCAGAGATATTGTGAGCTCCCTAAGATTCTCAATTGCTTATCTTTTAAAAACTAGTTAGCATGACTTTGATTCTTTGCAAAGAACTGACTAATACATATACTGAGCTACTGTTATGTGCCAGACTCTAAGTTGGCATATTTTTACATTACTTTATTTAAACTTCATAAACATAATTCAAAATACAAATTTTTATATATTTTGCAGATGAAAAAAGCTGAGATTCAAAAGGACACTTAATTCATTCTACAAATATTTATTCAAGGTCTATTGTGTACCAGCCACTGGGAAGAGAGTATTGAACAAAATAGCTCCTAGCAACTAAAAAAAGAATGGCATATTGTTTTAAATGTCCCCTTACCAAAATAAGAGGCATGGCACAACAGCTGTCTAGAGAGAAGGACCTCATGCCAGTCAGGCCGCACTTTAAATATAGAAACCCCCTAAAAATAGCCACTCATTTGTAGACTGAACAGGTGATTGGTCCAAAAAGAAGGGAGGAGGACCTCGGACTCAGTGAAGGAGAGTGAAAGGACAGGCTGTTGTCCTAGCTTCTCTCGCTGCAATGGCTCTGCCTCTGAGGTCCTTCAGTAGGGGTTTGGCGAGTGCTGCCAAGGGAGACCACGGAGGGGCAGGAGGTGAGTGGGCCCGGCTCCTAACCTTGTGGCTTCTTGACTTTGCCCACCTGTACCCTTCCTGCCTCTAAGGCCTTCCAGGATCCTGGCGACACGCCCCATTGACTAACTCCCCCTTCCCCAGTCCTTCTGAGGCCCTCCCAGCTTCTCTCATGCTTGCCTTTCTCTGTTGCAGCCGGCACCTGGCGCTTTCTGACCTTCGTGTTGGCTCTCCCGAGCGTGGCCCTCTGCACCCTCAACTCCTGGCTCCACGCCAAGCACCAGGAGCGACCCAGATTCATCCCCTACCACCACCTCCGTATCCGCACGAAGGTACAGCGGCCGGGGGCCTTGGCACCCGGGCAGGAGCGGGCGGTGGTACAAGGAACCCGCAGGCTGACAACTTGCTCTACTTTCCTCTCTCCACAGCCCTACTCTTGGGGGGACGGCAACCACACTCTTTTCCACAATCCTCACGTCAACCCTCTGCCCACCGGCTATGAACGGCCCTGAGTCCCGGGCAGTTGCCCTAGGCTCAATAAAGGTGTGGAAGCTGTGAGAACCCCAGTTCCGTGCGGTCCGCGGGGCTCCCCCTGGCGCATGCACCCAGTGCTGTCCGCGTCTGCTCTCTACCCAAGGCCGGATTTGGGAGGTACTGGGGAAACATCCTTGGTGAATAGGTAGAACTCCGCTCCTTCTCATTTATCTATTAATAATTAGGGCTCTAGGACTTGAAACAGCTTTCGCAATGAATCTGTGCATTCTGGCTATCTGGGAACAACTCTGGTTCCAAACATAGGGTTTACAGCCCTTTGCGTGAGGCTTCATGACCTAATTCTGAATGCGGAATAATTTTCTATGACCACCTTTAACGGGTCTTCTGTATTAGTTTGGGAAACCAGATGTTCCTTTCTGGAAGCCTGGCTCTCCTTGCTTCTGGGGACCCTGTTCAAGGGGACATTGAGGCAAACCAGCTCTGGACATTTCATTCACCTTCTAAGACAAACTGCTTGCTTGCCATTACCACAGACCCTGAAGCCTATGCTGAAACCAATGACCAACATACACACACAGAAAACTTCTTTTGGCGTCCTCCCCTGACACCTCAGAGCACTGCTAAAAAAAGATGATTGCAGGCCCCAGTCACCTGAGAAAGTGAGAGCGTTCTCTATACCCACAAGCAGTTTCACCTAACCCTTCCTAGAACAACATTTGGGTCCCTGGATTAGAGCTTTTTAATACAAGGAAAATGTTTTATAAACATCCTCGTTTAATGTGAAAATTCTCATACATATGAAAATTCATTCTGGCATCATGCCTGTTTCCATAAAAAGTGGGTGATCACTGAAGAAGTTCGGCAGATATAGAAACAAAAATTTTTCAAGGCCTTGGGAAGGTGGTGTAGCACCTGGCAAGTTGCTCAGGCCAGTCCAGATCTATATAGAAGTTATTCCCACAGAAGTAGATTTGTAAACTAAAGCAAGACCAGCCTGTGGGGAGTAGAAACAAACAAGGAAGTGGATTATTAGGACAAAGGCAAAATTTAGGGCCTCACAGCTGAAATTTTCCCCACTGAATGTGACAGTGTCTTCAGGCTTGTCATCTAGCATTTCTTTGTACTGACGTTTGAAGAAGCCAAGCTATGAGGGGAAGTAAATCAGAAAAGTTGGGTAAGAGGGTAGGGAAGAATGTTGAGAGTATGGAAGAAGCTGAGAGAAGAAGGAAACTATGCTGACTTATATTTGTGTGCCAGAACACTTATGTGAACAATAGCTATCATGTATTAGTATTTACTGTGTTCCAAGAACAGAGGTTATACACATAATCTATAGCAGAAAAACATAGATTCTGTGGTTAGGTAGGCCTGCACACACATCCTGGCCTCATTTCTGTCTTGCTTCAGCCACTCTGTGATGTAGATACTATTATTATTTCAAAAACTAGGAACAGGCTCAGAGAGGTTGAACAGTTGGCCTGACATTAAACAATAAGACAGAGCCAAAATGTGCGCCCAGACCTACCTGACTCCATTGTCTGAGTTCTTCCTGCTATACTATCCTTTCTGTGCAAGCTTGGGTTGGATGCTGGTGGTGTCAAGTGTGAGATAAAAACAATCACCTTGTACAGTGTGGCTGTGATGAGGACCAGCAGCAGCAGTCCTCCCACCGAGCTGCCCACAATGAGAATAGGATCATAGACCTCATCATCTCCATCTGATTGGGAGATCAGAAGATGCAAGGTCTCTTGCCATCCCAGACTCTTCCCAGCTTCCCCAACCTTTAACTTCTCCTCCTTTGCCAGGCCATGCTCCAAGGTACTCATGGGTTTAGGGACAACTGTCCTGCCCAGGGACCTTCATCCTCTCCTTCTCCAGGCTTGTGAGCCCCCCACCCAGTATCACAGATTTAGCATCAGAAGCTCTCTGACCAGCCTGGGCACTGCCTACCACACAGTCACTACCTGGGCTCTCGAAAATGCCTCCTGTCCTGGAAGCTGAGGGTACACCGATTGAACATGATTTCAGCCACACTCACAACCAATACCTTCTTCTGCAATGTCTGCAAAAGAGAGCAGGAGAGCTGGGAACCAGCTCTGGGGAAGGCTCAGAGTCAGAGAAATGTCCTAGCATGAGGATGGGCACAGATTTATTAGGTACCACCTGAGTCTGGGAGAGGGACTCTGCAGTTAGGCCTACACACCTGGCCGATCCAGCCAAAGCTGAGGTTGCCCTTCAAAATGAAGTCAAGTTCCTCCTGGGTGCCAAAAGAGGGTATGTCACAGCAGAACCTCAGGCAGTCAGCAATGGAACAGTCCTAGGGACAAGAGAGGAATGAAGTTAAGGAAGATCTTAAGGAGGAACCAAAAGAGAAAATGGTATGTCAGATTTGGGGTGAGGAATAGGTTAACACTTCCTATATATATATTCTAGGTCATATATATAGCTCTGCAACCTAGCAGTGCATTTTCCTGTGTTCCTGAGTGAGCAACTAGTTCTACAGTGCGAGTCCAGGGCCTTTCTCATCAGCACAAGACTCCTTGGAATCTGGGTCTAGAAGTTAGAATGCTGGAGAGGTTCCATCTCTGACACACAGGAGAGACTCTAGTGAGAAAGATAAAGAATCACAGAATGATCAAAATTTCACTTGTAAGTGGGTGTGAGGCATTGTGGAATCAGACCCTGGAGAGTGAGGAAAGGCAAGCAAGCATCTATGAAGGGGCCACCATAGCCACATCTCACACAGCCACACAATTAATACATGGCCAGATCTTGCTGACTCAGGTTATTCACCTTCAGAAAATCAAAGCAGCATAACTGTGGTCCCTAGAGTATTCCCAAATCCCACTTCTTTCCTGGCTCTAGCCCTTGGTTCTTTCCCATCTTTCTCCACCAACCTCCAATGTTAGCAGCACCATGGGTGCTGAATGAATATTCAGACATGAATATTCCCTGGCCTCTCCCAGGATATCGATGCTCGGCTTCTTTCCTGCTCTTCTCATCAGAAGTTGAAAAGTTGAAGTGCTTGGTGGATTCTTCCTGTCTGGAGAGAGAGGGCTTGTTGGTGAAAAACAGCCCTGGGACCGTCCTCAGCCTGCTGCCAAGGGCTCTTTTGGGGCCAAGATGACCCAGGGAAATGATGATGGTCCCCACAAGCCTCTGCAGCCTCAGCTTCAGCTCCTCTTCCCCCATGTCCTTTGTCTTGGTCACCCAGAACTGCTAGCTCATCCCTTGATATCCCAGCTCTTTCATATCCCCATGATTTTGTTTAAACTTTTTCTTCTGCTTTGAATGTCCTTACTCACTCCCTTCTGGAAACTTTCACTTAAAGGCCAAACTTAAACATCACCTCCCATAACATTTAAACATTTCCCATGGGGAAAAGGTGTTCATATGCTTTCTCTAGTTTTGCTTTCTCTAGAATAAACACGGTTGGCCTCAGGTGAAGTTTGCACAGGCTGCTGCAAGAACAAATAAGCCTAAGGAGTCTTGAGGGAATGATGGATGGATCATTCAAGAAAAAATAGAATGTGAGCCCCTTCATGATGGGAATGAAAAAATAAATGTGGCCATCCTGGGGCCGTTAAGTAAATGTGGTGGGAGATGGCACATGAACACAAGCCCATGAAGTGGACATAAATGTTTCTGGCTGCAGGTGACTTTCCATCCATTCATCTATTCATGGCCTCCTTCAAGAAACATTTACCCTGTACCAGACAGTGTGCTTGTCTCTGGTGATTCAGCAGTTAAAAATTCATAATCTCTGCCTTCCCATACCCCACAGTATCCCCACAGATGTGGCTGTGAACTTGATGATTAAGAGCATGGACTCTGGAGCCAGATGATCTGGGTTCACATCTCAGGTCCACCACTTTCGACCTGAGCGATTTAAGGCAAGCTACTTAATGTCTCTGGGCCCTGTAGTTTCTTCCTCTTTAGAATGGGAATGCTAATAATAGTGCCTACCTATAAGGAGGTTTGTAGCCATGCCATAAATGTTAGAATTTATTTTTTCCTTTAGTATGTTAGTCTTCCTCTCTGTTCCCCACCCAAACCCTTTCTCTCTCTGCTTCAGTTTTCTCACCTTAAAATCTTCCAGTTCCAAATCTATTTTCATATTTGAGTAGATCACTCAGCTTTCTCAATCTTTAGAGAGGTATATAGTATGGCTATGGGCACAAGTTCTGGAGTCAGACCATCTGAGTTTGATTCCTGGTTCTGCTACTTACCAGCTGAATGACAGAGCAAGTTATTTAACCTCTTGATTTTTTTGTTGGTAAAAAGGGGGATAACAATAACTATATCATGGAGTTATTAGAAGTATTAAATGAACATAAACACATGTAAAGTACTTAAATGAACATAAATTATTAAATGAACATAAACACATGTAAAGCACATCATGAGTGTATATGACTGTAAGCTCTTACTATAAGTTTCAGTATTTTCCCACGGATAGAAGGGGAAATGCACACATGGAGTTTGGAAGGGCAATGACACTGCTTGATGCCCATCTCTAGTTCCCCTAAAAATATGTACAGCAGCAGCAGCAGCAGAGAGTGTCCCATGGCAATCTTATAAGTTTCTAACCAATTCTCTAAATCCCTGGAGTTAAGCCAGGTGTGTGGGGCTCCTTGCCCTGCTTCCAGCTTGGCCTGCCCCTGCTCCTCCACCCAGTTTCAGAACCCAGAGCAGCATCCCTACACTTGCCTTTCTTGTGGCCTGCATTGTCCTTGGGCTCTTAGAGACCTTCCCAACAGTTTATCAAGTCTACTCTCCTCTCAATTTTGAAAAAACCTGACCTTTCTCTTCCTCTGTGTGGTAAAAGACCATATCCTGTTGGTCACAAGTTCCCCAATTCAGAGTGCTCAAAAAAGCCTCAATCTAAATCTAGTAGCTTAGCTTCAGCACATTTGTGTTTATCACAAGAGATAGGACTGGCTTCATGCTAAAAGAAGCCTACATCATGAAGAGAAAGGAGGGAGTGAACAGCAATGGCAAAGTGTGTTTGTCCCACAAGCAGACCAGTTTGTCAGAGAAGAAGCAAGAATTATGGTACAGGCATACCTTGGAGATATTGTGGGTTCAGTTCCAAGCAAATATCACAATAAAGTGATTTGCACAAATTTTTTGGTTTCTCAGCACACATCAAAGTTATGTTTACACTATACTATAGTCCACGGGTCCCTAACCCCTGGACTGTGGACTGGTACCAGTCCCTGGACTGTTTGGAACTGGGCTGCACTGCAGGAAGTGCCAACAAGCAAAGTTTTATCTGTATTTGCAACCACTCCCCAGCACTAGCATCACCACTTTGGCTCCACCTCAGATCATCAGGCATTAGATTCTGATAGGAGCACTGGTACCTGGTGCCAAAAGGTTGGGGACCGCTGCTGTAGTCTAGTAAGTGTGCAATAGCACTGTGTCTAAAAGAATAAACATATCTTAGTTTAAAAATACTTTTTTGCTAAAAAATGCTAATCATCATCTGTACCTGTTGAAAAAAAAATGGCACTGATAGACTTACTTGACACAAGATTGCCACAAACCTTAAATATATAAAAAACACAGTAGCTGTGAAATGCAATAAAGCCAAGTGCAACAAAACAAGATATATCTGTTTATGGTATAAACATATGGCTAGTCACAGATATTCCCATGTGAGGAATCAGAGGGAATCCTCAAAAGAGCAGACTGGGCTACAGAAGTACCAGGTTTGGAAGACAGTCAGAGGTCCAAGGGAAGGGCCAGGGATTAATTACCTGCTGCTTACTGTGTAGATGGCATAATTCACTAGGAACTCCAACTGTAATGTAGTTTTGCTTGTTGTAGGCTTATTATTCTCACTGGAGAGAGAGGAGGAGCCCTAGTTGGGAGAAAACCAGGAGAGGAGTCTCTAGCTTGGATAGGAGACAGGAAGGTGAGGGACACATCATACCTGGCCTGGGCTCACCTGCTTGCATTGGCCCTCAGGAGCAACTTGTCTCCCAGGATGGCCTTGTAGGAGGCATCAAATGTGACTATGAAGGTACCCTGAGAGAAGAAGAAAGGAAAAAGGGCATAGGGAAGGCAATGGGGGATTGAGGGAAGGAAATAAGTCAGGACAAAGGAAAAGAGTGAAGAAAATTTGGGAGGAAGCAATGACCTTAGTGCCCTCTCAGAAAAGGGTGGTTGATGCTACAGCTGATGCTCCTCAGGCCTTCTTCATTCCCAGTGGGCACAGCCTCACATGCCAGGTGCAGTGGACACTGATGAGGTTGCTTCCAGAGGAGGAAAACGAATTCAAAACAGTTACCCACATGCATACATGGGCTTAATATATAATAGTGGTAGCATTATAGAGCAGTAGAGGCAAGGACTGACTTTTCAATAAATGGTCCTGGGAAAATTGGCCTATACAAAAAAAAAAAAAAAGAAAAACAACAACAGCAACAAAACATTGGATCCCTATCTCTCTTCATCAATTAAAATAAATTACAATTGGATAAAGACTTAAATGTCAAAAGTCAAAATTATAAATCTTTTAGAAGATAATATAGTGGAAAATTTTTTCATTACCTTGGAGTAAGGAAATATTTATTAAACAAGATTCACAAACAAAAACACTAAAAGATTGATTAACATCAACTACGATCAAATCAAGACATTTTATTTATTGAAAGATGCAGTAAAGAGACCAAAAAGACAAGCAACAGGATTGGAAAAGATATTTGAGCAAATATAATTGGAAAAGGACTAATAACCAGAATATGTAAAGAACTCTTACAACTCAATAAGAACAAGATGGACAACTCGATAGAAGAATAAGAAAAAGACTTGGACAGGAACTTCCTAAAAGAAGAACTCCAAATGACCAGGAAATATGTGAAAAGTTGCCCAACTTCATTAGAGAAATTCAAATTAAAACTGCAAGGAAATATTATTACTCACCCACCAGATTGAAGAAAATTAAAAAGTCAGATAGGGGTGGCCCTATAGTGTAGTGGTTAGTACGTCTGCTTTACACACAGAAGGTCCTGAGTTCACACCCCAGGTGGAGCCACAGACCATACCCCAGGTGTGCCAGGCCCCCCAAGTGCGCTGAAGGTACTAGGCCCCAGGTGCACCAGGCCCCAGGTGTGTGCCGCGAGTGGGAGGAGACGCCCACCTTCAGAGATCCAGTTCTTAAGGGGAGACAGCAACATCCCTAGGTCAAGGGTGGAAGTGGGGGAGCAGGGAAGAGTGAATTAAAGCGGGGAGGAGTCAGATAATGCCAAGTAAAAGCCACAAGAATTATCATACACTGCTGATGCAAGTGTAAGTAGGTGTAAGTAGGTGAAAATGATTTGGCTTTACTTACGAAAATTGAAGATACGCATACCTAATGATTCAGCAATTCCACATGTGGTAGATACCTTCCAAATATTAATGTATAGGTGCATCAGAATATATGTCCAAGAATTATCATGGCCAAGATCGGGAAACAACTCAAATGGCCATCAATTGTAGAATAGGTAAAAAAATTGTGGTACAGTCATACAAGGGGCTTCTACATAGCAACAAAAATGTCCTATAACCACGAAAAACAACATGAATGAATCTCACAAACTTAATATTGAAGAAAAAAACACACACAAAAAGCATGCAACATGTTTCTATTTATATAAAGTTCAAATATTGGCAAAACTGAACAGTATTAGGGATGTACTTGTGGGTGGTAAAATTATAAAGAAATACAAGGAGTCGCTTATCACAAAGTCAGACTAGTGATTACCTCTGGGGAGAGAGTGGGGTTGTAATGAGGAAAGGCACGTAGTGAAAGGGCTTCTGCGAGTGCTAGCAGGATTTTATTTCTTGACCTCCATGCTAATTGCATAGATATTTACTTAATATTATTCATTAAACTACACACATGCTTTATAACTTTTCTGTGTGTGTCTATTTTACATTTCACCATAGAAGAATTAAAAGGAACATACTATACCCTAGGGAAAGGGAGAGTTCCTGGCCAATTAGAGCCCAAGGGAGCTATTTACCTGAATTCTTAACACTCGTGTCAATAGGACAGCCCTGCTGGGTCATAGAAGTTGATCACAGTTCTATAGGAATCCTCGCCCTCATTCCACAAAGTCACTATCACATTGACTCCAGAGAGCTCCTCACTACCAGAGACTGTAAGCTGAAGGAGAAAAGACAGCACTGAAAGAGACACTCCATTGGAAATAGATTGGAATTAGATCAGAGGCAGAGGCAGAACTGTGGGAATTCATGAGCTACGGGCTGATAACATTCCAACCAAATCATTTCTTTGTTAGGACAGCCGAAGTCAAACACAAGCACGTCTCATCCTATGAGTGTGAAAGACTCAAAAGCTTGAGTGTCTGGATATGAAAGGAGATAGCACTCACATTTAAGTCCTCTTCAAAGAGGAGATCTTGCCCACAGTTCTTAAAGGGGAGCTGCAGCAAAACAACATATTCTCTTCCCATCGATGTCTTAATCCTTCTCCAATCCCCTCATTAGGAGCACTCATCAACACTGAGTATTACTGAACACACACCCTGCACTCAGGTCTGTGCTAGATGCTGGTAAGGAGTGGGGTGGTGGGAGAGGGGCAGTTAGAATATAAAAGAAAGCTAAGACAAGATCCTTGGCTTCAAGGAACATAAAGTTTAGTTGAGGAGTCACATCCAACTCACACTGGAACAACTATTCAACAAACATTATTAAGTATCAATAAGGGGACAGTTTCTGAGTTGGGTAGGGGGTTAGGAAAGGTAGAAACTACAGGCAAATTAGACATGGTTCTTGCATTCAAAGAACCTACAATTCCAAGAAAGTCACAGAGGTACATACAGATAGCTATGATTCCAATTATGTGATATTTGGCATTGTATCACCATGATGTAATAGGAGGCCAGAGAAGAAGTGACAGATGCTGAATGTGGTTTTCAAAATAAAGGAAGATAAGACTGGAGCTTTGAGGACTAGAAAAGGTCTTTGTGTTGGAGAGAAGGAAATGTTTTCCAAATAAGAGATACAACATGGACAAAGGCACAGGGAGAAATTAGATAAGTTAGGAAGAATCTGCAGAATGAAAACCAACTTTATGTTGGAACAAAGTAGATAACCAGCTGGGATATGTGTAGGGTACAATCTAGGCAGGGTCTTGGTAACTGGGTGGTGGCATTTTGGACTTGATGTGGTTGTAGGCATTTGGGAGCCACTTAGTTTCTTAAGCACATGGAAACATGGTGAAAATCAGCACATCCCTGGGACTTCATCAGAAGACTCACAGAAGCAGTGAAGAGGTCCTGTGAACCCATAGCCAGCACAGGGCAAAAGTTCTGGGATGAGGGGAGAAGTTGAGGTGCAGAATGATGGGGTTCACCACATCCTCTGTACAGTCCTGAGGAAGAATGGCTTTTCAAGAACCCACTCTTCTTACTTTTCACTACTGGGGCTTCTCTTCCATTAGATCCATTCCCCATTGTCACATAGTGCCCCAGCCAAACTGTAGAGCCAGGTTCTCCAGCAATAATCTTCCTCTCTCCAGCCCCAGTCTATCTACCCATCCAACCTCACACAGCAAGGAGCAGGGGTTTCAGAGGCTAGCTAGCTTTGCTTGGGCTCTTCCTCCCTCTCTCTCTCCCTTTCCCAGAACCCAAAGTCCTTACTGGTAAAAGCAGTTTCATGATTTCACAGTGATTCCTCAGCCCCAGGGTTTTTCTTTGAGTCAAAGTCCAGTTCTTGGCCTTATCAAAAATGGCACGGGAAATCAGACAGCCTGCATCCAATGTCATATTGTACCTGACAGAGCTTTGGACATCACCTAAAGCAGAAGTAGGATGGAAGACAGGAAGTCAAAGAGAATCTCAAATATTCTGTTTTTATTTGTTCATGCTGAGCAATTTCTATTGGCCATGAACTGTACCAGGTGCTGAGGATACACGTGGAGAAGACAGATAAATATGGTCCCTGCCCTCATGAAACTCAGTCTAGGAAAGGAGACAAGCACATAGGACATATGTCACAGCATGATCAGTGCAAGAGTGGGTTCTCAGTGGTAACTCAGACCCTCAGAGATGCTTTTCTGGATAGACCTTGTCTTAGCTCTGACCTGAGGGATGAGCAGAAGTAGGGTGAAGATTGGGGAAGAGAACACCCCAGACTGTGGGAATAGTGGCTAAAACCAGAAGGGAGAGGAAGGCTGGCACATTTACAAAAAATGTATGGAGTGAGGGGGAATGGGATGAGGCGAGGCTGGAGTGGCAGAGAGGGGCCACATCATCAAGAGCTTTGTGGGGAAGGATTTTGATCTTTATATATGCAAGAAGGAGGGAGTAGAAAGGTATTAAGCAGGGGAGCAAGAAGGCCAGATTTGCATTTTAGAGCTAATCAACTCTAGCTGCTCTTTGAAGAATGAAGGGAGGGTGCAAGAACAGGATGTGGGAACAGGTCCACGTGTAAATAGGAAGGAAAAGGGTGGCCTTAAGAAAGGCAGTGGCTGGGGAAGGTGGAGAGAAGTGGGCAGACTCCAGATTTATCCTGGAGACAAACCTACAGTCCTGGGTGTGGTAAGGGGGAAAAGAAGGACCCAGGTTTCTGACACTGGTATCTGGGTAGGTGTGAAAGTGAGATTTGGATTCCTGGGCCCATTCAGTTCTGAGGACAGGGCTGAGGACCTCTGAGGGGTGATGAACTGGGTCCACTGGAGAAAATTCACCTAGCTGCAAGTAAGCTTTTGCAGATAGTGAGACAGACTGTGACATTCCCAGCTTCCACGAGAGTGAACAGCTCTTCCTGGCACTGGTACACAGCCTTCACCACCTCTGAAGGCATGAATCTGATGGCCACCCCCACGTTCAGCCCTGGCAGGCACCTGAGGGTATACATGGGAGCTGAGGAGAGGACTCTGGCCTCTAGGAAGAGAACAAGGGAGAGTCACCTCGGTGAATCAGATGCATATGAAGCAGAGTTGGGATGTGGGAAGTTGTCACCTGAGCAGCAGCACATGACCCTGGGCCCTCTCAATCAGGTCTGCAAGTCCATCCTGGGTGACATTCTGACCTAGGCTCAGAGATTGCCCCAAATTCTGGAGCCTGGGGGAGAACTGGCAGCCTGCCATCCTCTGGCCAGAGATGGAAAGAAGTAGAAGTCAAGGGCAGGTAATGAAAAGTTTTGAGAAGAAAGATTGGAGAAGAAGAGGGCAGCAAAAGTGGATCTGAATGGAGAAATCAAAAAGGAGAGATGAGGGGATAGGAATGGAAAGCAAGCAGAGCAAGAATCTCAGGGACTCCAAACAAAGAGAAAAAAGTTCTTTTGGGCCCACTCATCATGATGGTGCAGATTGACAACAAAATAAAAGCATAATGATAAAAACATAATAGATTCATTTATTTATCATTCGTATGTTCCTTCATAAATATTTGATGAATGGTACTCCCATTGAGTTATCTTTACAAAAAGACTAGGAGGTTGTTAATCATTTAAAGTTTTATAGAAGGAAACTAAGGCTCACAGAGGCTAACTCAGTCACTTGCCTAAAACAATACAGCTGACTTGGCTGGCCAGGTCCTTGATCTGGGGCCTGCAATCTCTTAACCATTAAGCTGCGCAGAACAGTTTAAAGTCTATTTGAAACCGAAGGAGTAAAAAAGATAATTGTGCTTAGCTGGGCCTGGTGAAATTCAGGGAAATAAACTACTGAAAGAAGGAGAGGTAATGGCTCCTGCTAAAGCCATTGACAAGAGGTGGCATCAGGTGAATCTAAGAAATGGAAAGGAGTTTGAACTAGAAGAGGCCGAAGACAAGGTTCCTCACCTTGCTGTGAAAGGGCTGATGCCCAGTCCTGAGGTTTAATGAAATAGGTAGACAGCACTCTGGTTCTCCTGCTCTCCAAGGGCCCCAGTGGCCATGTCCATCAGCTTGTCCCTATTCACGTTCCCCAGCACTGTCAGGGCTTCCCCAAAGCGGCCCCAGGGGTGGCCTTGCTCCCCACAGAGAATGAACTCACACTGCCACCTAGCCCTCTGCAGAACAAAACCAGTGCCAGTCCCCAACCCAGGCAACTCCTCCACCCCACACCCAGGCCCCACCCATCCCAGGTTCCATCAGCCACTCACCCCCCGGGGAAAGGGGCACACAGACACCTGCCCCCCAACCTCCGGGTTGGTTCATAGTATGAGGAGTCCCAGTGAGGACCAGGTCGGAGCTGCCATCTCTGTCCACGTCCACAGAGCAGAGGGAGGCCCCAAAGTAGGAGCCGATCTGGACAGCAGAGGCTGAAGTCACCCCGCCTGCCCCTGCTAGAGGCACCCCTTCTGGGTAAGGTACTGCCTCTCCCCAGGGACCAGTACCTCCCTACCACAAGCCCCAAACCCCTTCATCTCTTTCCTCTCTGTCCCTGAAGACTGCCACCCTCATGTTCCACTCTGACTTCCTCCACACCCAACCTGGGTCCCTGTGACTTCAGCCTTCGGCCTCCATTGCCCAGACACCTGGGCGAAGAGGACAACTTTCCTGGTGTGCTGATGGTGGGGGGTCCCCAGGACCAGGCTCTGCACCCGCTTCCAAAGGGCCAGCTCTGTGGAGTAACCTGAAGAGACCAGGCCTCAGCACAGAGGCCCTGGGCTCCTGCTCCTCCCAGGCATCTCATCTCCCGCCTGTCACAACCAAAGCCTTTTCTCACCCAAGTAAGAATCCCTCATGTGCACATGCTCTTATATTTGGGGGGGTACAGAAAGGCATATCCAGGCCAGCTGAAGCTCCCCAAAAGCCCCGGAACTGGTCCATCCTGGGAAGAAAGGATTCTGGGGCTGAGTAGAAGGGAGCGAGAAGAGACAGCAATTCCAAAGCAATCCCTGCCGCTGACTCCACTCATTATTTGGAATTCTCTTTCTTCTTCCCTAGCCCCCACCAGCAGCCTCTGTGCCCCTGATTCCTAATGCCTCTCGGTCCATCCCCACTGCCCCTGCCATGATTAATTCCATTGCTTCTCACCCACTGCCCTCTCTGCCTCCTAGCTTGCTCTCCTCTGCTCTATCTTCTACTGCCCCAGAGTTAGGGTCCTCTAACCTAAATGTACAACCACCACCCTACTGACAAACCAGTCTGGCTCCCTGTCACAAGCCCCTTAGGATCCATCTCAATCAAACCTGTGGAGTTACCCTCTGTTTCAAAACACATCAAGCCTTCGACCTGGACACCTCTCTCTCTTTCTAAGACTCGACTTCCCTCTCTGGAAGAGTCAACCTCAAAGTCACCTCCTCTGTGAGGGTTTCTCAATTCCCTCAGGGAGTGATAGGCATTTATTGCTCTACATACACTGTTTACTGCCTTTTAAATATTTTGATTGTGGATAATTTAGAACATATACAAAAGCAGAAGGAAATGTATAATGAACCTATAAGTACCTATGACCTAGATTCAGTGATACATTCATGAGAAACCTTATTTCATTTCTACATCCCCCTCATTCAATCCCCCAAATAACTTTGAAGCAAATCCCTGTGGGTATTTTGAATACACTTTTGGACAAGGCATGCTATCTTGTCATGTCTTTGGTCTGTATGGTCTGTCCCTTCCCATTCTACGTCTGTCTCCTTCCATGCTGTCCTTAGTTCATTCTATTTTAGTTACATTGGCCCTTCTATCTCTCCAATGCAGTGAACTTGTTCCTGCCTCAGGAACTTTGTACTTGCTTTTTCCTCTATCTGGAGCAATCTCTCCCCAGATTATTCCAGTGCTGGCCCTTTCTCATCATTCAGCCTCAGTTATTACTCCTCGGGCCTCCTCTAATCACCTCTTTCTCTATCCCAACACTTAGCACAATTGAAAGTCCTTCATTTATTGTTTGTCATCTCCTCCCACTAGATAAATGCTCCATGAGAGCAGGAACCTTGACTATCCTGTGCTCTGCTGTGCTCCCAGCACCTACTTATACTGCCTGAATGTCTCTCCCCTACTAAATGGTGAGCTTAAAGAAAGAGTCTGCTTTCTTATTTACTTCTGGGTCTTAGCTACAGTCAAGGGCTGGCCCGGGGTTAGTGTCTGAAACCTGTTTATCAAGCACCTGCTCTACCTACCACTGTGAGTACTGAACCGAAGCCTTCTTGTGACATCTCTTACTGGAAAGAGCTACTTCTTTTCAACTGGGTTCCTGTAAGGAAATAGGTTGCTTAGGCTCCCAGAGGCCATGAGACTACAAGAACCTGAGGAAGGAGAATGTGGTCTGAGGCTTGGGTTCTGGGGAACAATTTGTGGTGAGCTGAAAGTAGGAATAAATCTTCCAGGTTTGGGGGACAATTGGATCAAGATCTCTTCAATTCTAAGACCTAAGCTTGTTCCCCATAACTTTTGACTGCAAAGATCTTTTCCTGCAGCTGCTTCTGGATACTGCCATGTGCTGCAAAGTTGTCCACCTTGAATGTGTGGTTCTGCGAGGGCATTGAGCCAATGGTGTTTAGCTCCTGCCTGGTAGTGGGTTCCTGGAAAGCATCTCCTACCTATAGCAGAGAGGCAGCTGAGGAGGAGGAGCCCACCAGACTTCCTGCCTGGGTGAGGTGCAGGCCTAATCTGGGGGAGCCACGAAGAAGAGGACATACCCTAATGGCATATCGGATGATGCCAACTATCTCAGCCAGGGAGATGATATCACTGTATTTCAGGGAGTCTTTGTATTTTTGTCCATCTGTGATGACAATGAGGATCTTCTTGGCACTTTTTCAGGCCCCATTCTTACTATGAAATAGTTCTTTCCTGTCAGAGAAAAAAAGGAAATGACTCTAGTGAGATGGGATTGATTCTGGAAAGAAATCATTTGTAGTGCTAGAAGCTCATCTGGAGAAACTAGGGAGTCCTGGTACCCTCTGACTCTGTAAGGCATGTTGAGAAATCAGTTCACACCGATGTTCATAGCAGCATTATTCATGGTGGCCAGGACATGGAAACAACTGAAGTGTCCTATGATAGATTATTGGATAAAGAAGCTGTGGTACATATATACTATGGAATATCACTCAGTCATAAGAAGAGATGAAATACTGCCATTTGCAACAACATGGATGGACCTTGAGATATTCATGCTAAGCAAAATAAGCCAGACAGAAAAAGTTGAAAGTCACATGATATCACTTATATGTGGGATATAAACCTAAAAGCAACAAATGAACAGGACAGAGACTCATGGACATGGACAATAGACTAGTGGTTATCAGAGGGTAGGGGAGAGTGGGAGAGAGGAGGTAGATGGGGTAAAAGGGGTCAAACATGTGGTGATAGAAAGAAATCTAACTATGGGAGATGAATACACATTGTAAATATTTTTATATGCCTTACTGTTAAAATGTACAGCTGAAACTGGATTTCGTTAACCGATATCACCATAAAAAATAAATTAATTAATTTAAAAAAATCAATTCAGCCCTTTTTGAAAGTCATACTAATAATAATTAGTAAGACCAATAATATACTCATATTCCTTGTTCCTAAAATTACAACTACTAAGGAACCCCATTCCTAGGAGGCAATATGGTTTGGAGTGGGAGCTCTGGAGTCAGATACATTGTGGGCAAATTACTTTACTTCTCTGAGCCTCTACTGCTCTCCATGCAGGATAAGAATAACAATTGTACCACAGCTGCTCTCCAAAGGTGTACCCAGTGAGCCACATCTGATTCCCTTACCATACTGAACCTTGCCTATAACTTGCTCTAATCAGTAGCATACAATGGAAGTGACACCATGCCAGAGGTTATGAGCCTAAGAAGCCTTGGTAGCTTTTGCCTTTGGGAAGCCCTGAACTACCATGAGAAGTCTAGATACCCTCTTAGAGACACCCCATGGGGTGGCCACATGGAGAGAGAGGCCCAGCCATCCTAGCTGAGCCCAGCCTTCCAGCTAATCTTGTCAAGGGAGCAGCCAAGTGAATGAAGCTCTCGTGTGCAGCCTCAGATGCCACCCGACCACAGCCACACAAGACGTGAGAACAGCTGAGCCTCAGGATCATGTAAAATAATAATAAAAGAGTTGTTTAAGCCACTAAATTTGGGAGTGGTTTGTTAGGCAACAATAGATAACTGAGACAAATAATATCTATCAAGTTATTCTGAGGATCAAATGAAGTCAAGCTTTTACAGTAGTGAATGGCCTACTACAGTTAATTCTATGGTAGTTGTTACAAACTATTAAAAATGTAACTATAAGCTAGCGTAGCTCTACAAACTCAGAATATACACACATGCCAACCAAGACAAGACACACATGCCAATATAATACTAGAAACAACTTAAATGCCCAACATTAAGAAAGGCATTTAGCAAATCATGACCCAGGGTCTTGGTTAAATAGTACACAGCCATTTCAAAGGAAAACAATAAAAGCTGTAGAGACGTGTGGAAAAGATTTCTATAACAGATGAAAAAAAGGACAGGATGAAAATAGTTTCTGCCCTGATTGTGACTGTATAAAATATGTCTGAATAAAAACAAGAATGAAAATGACACTGTTTTGACACTATTTATTCATTTGTACTTATCCCTTCTTGTTGCTTATCCCTTCTTGTTGCTAAAATACTGATTGGCTAGAGGGGCTGTCAGTCCCCCCAAATTTCTTTAATGTTATTGCCATTTTGTCTTTTTTGTAATGAAACTTCTGAAAAAAATCCAACACACCCCCCACCCCCTACCACCAAATCCTAGTCAGAGTCAGGGAGAGGCTGAGTCCAGCTCTGAGATGGCCTTGGCTCTGGAAGCAGGGAGGCTGCTGTTCTGGGTGATGGGGAGCAGAACAGTACTGATGAGGACCACACCACCTCTCACCGCTGGAAGGAGCTCCAGAGACTAAAAAGGGATGCCACTCCTGTGTGACTTTCAACTCAAGGGACGGAGGCTTTCCTCTCTGTTGTGCAGTGTCCAATGCAAAAGAGCTACCCAGGAGTAAAGAGGGTGCATTTGGCGGAAGCACCCTGTGTTCAGCATTTCTCCAGCACCAACCTCAGAACAGCACCCAGCAGTGTGCACAAAGTAAAGGATCCCAGATATTCAGGCCTCCCATTCAGAACAGAACCACATCTTCTATTCTGGCCTCACCACTTAAGCCTTTTTCTTCATGAACTTTCTAAGAGAGGAGAGGGGGCATCTGAAAACTGCAAAGGAAAGGGCTTGCAGAAATGACTGACTCAGCCGGTTATAGATTAACCACACCCTATAGATTTTAAATGACCTTCTAGAAACTCTTGTAACACCTACAAGATAAACGATCTGTAAATAGATAGAACCAGTGGTCTGGGAAGTCCTTCCCCTTTGCAGCCCCTACCTGAAACTCCCCCTCCGCATCCTGAGTCATGAGACACATGTAAAAACTCAGACAAAGGAATCGCGCGCCCCTTGGACACTGCAGAGGTATATACACTGTAAGAAATCTAACCAAGGAGAGCTCATGCTTTGGTGTCATTAAGCCCCACGTGCTCCACAGGCTAATAAATTCTCCTTCCTCTAACAAAGTTATCTGAGAGTCCAATTTCCTCCATCGGGTGTCACTTCCTGCAACACTCCTAGCACTCAGTGCTGAGCAGGTACATAATAAGCACCCAGTTAATGTAGAGAGCATGCATGGATGAGAAATGAGGGGATGGAAGGTGGTGAGTGGGGAGAAAGGCACAAAAAAGAGACTTGGCAACCATGCCTGAGTCCCTGCCAGGGTGATAAAGGGGGGCCACACCATTATCTGGATAAAACCCCAACCATTTATCCAGCACTTCCTGTGCAGAAGTGCCTCTCATGTTATCTCATTTAATCATGCAACCAAGTTAAGTTTATCCTCATTGGACAATTTACTGAGACAGAAAGAGCCAGTAACTTCCAGGGATGCCCAGAAAACAAGCAGGGATGGGAACCCAGATGTGTCATGAGATGGCTGCCCCAGGTGGGCTCGGGGTCCAACCAATCTAAGGCCAGGCAAAGGGGAAACATGGGGAAGAAGAGTCCTGTCCTATATCAGTGATCGAGGAGGCCAGGCACACTCCAGGGAAGACTATGCCTACAGCCCCCTCACTTCTCTTTTAAGCCCCTTTCCCCAGAGCCTCCCTCAGTCTGGTAGAAGAGTTGTGCAGACCCAGTATGAAGAAGAGGTTTGGCAGGTATCCCGCAGGCAGTAGGAGGGGGAGTTTACACCATTGTCAGGATGCCCGTGGCTGTGAACGTCAGTTCATTCAGTTGGACAGTGGGATCCACCAGGCTCTGAGGGCTAAAGCTGGTCTGGAATGCAGTGAAGCGAAGTGGATCTCCAGGAGGTTCGAGTACTTCATGAGCGAGATTTGCGGAGGCCAAGTGGAGGCCCCAGGCTCAGAAGTTGTTTTTGTTTTGTTTTTAATAAGCTTTTTATTTCGGAATAATTTCAGATTTACAAACCATGTTCTATGTGTTTTTGAGACCCAACAAATATATGCCGAAACCCAGAAGAAAAAAATGGCCTCAAAAGAAAACTAGACAATTGAAAACAAATAATGCTTCTTTCAGAGTTTACAAAGAATAACTTTCCTAACCACAATATTTGTTAAATTTTTAAAAAATGTATAATACATGAAATTATTTGTAGTCTATATTTCCTCACTTGTTAAGATTTGTACATACATATACACTAATTACCAGGAAATAAAATAATAAAATAAAATAAATCATAAGTTACATGGAAAACATAATAAAGAATCATTAATTATTTGACCAAGTTACCTGCAGTCAAATTTCCCAGCAAAATTAATAATCCTTTCAATGCTTTTAAATAGCAAAAATGTCATATTTCTATGGCATATGGGGACCTATTAAATACAATGGGGGAGAACTCCTAGGATTGGGGCTCAACTCAGCCCTGCGCCAGGACCATATCTTAATCTTGTACCCCATTGTCACCATGGAACAGGTCCACTGAGCCAGCAACCCCAGCAATGCCAGCCCCACCTCCTAGGTTGTCTTCCCCAGAAACAGACTCTCCTTCCTCCCAGTGGGGCCAGTCTTCACTAGGGTGTTGGTGCCCTCAAACTGGTCCATCAGAGCTCTGACATCTGCTTAAAGTCACTTTGGCCAATGCTGCCACAGTCATTGATCAAGAGGACAAAGTCCATCACTTGATTTGGACACTCTGCAGAGAGAGAAGGAGGAATCAAAGATGCATGTGTGGGTCCCAGCCATCTCCTAAGGCCCAGAAAACCTCCCTACTCCACACAGTCAGGGGGTTACTCCTAGCATAGGGATTAATTCCCACCCAGTTTCCAGTACCCTCCACAGAAGAGACCCAGATATGTTGCCCCAGCCCCTTCTCCCCTCAGCACAGTCCCTGTTGCTCTCTTCTCTCCATTGGCCTGAAAAAGAGGAGAAAGAAATAGAGGACAGGGGCCTGGTGAGTTCCTCATTCATTTAGTCAACAAATGTTTTTGAATACATATCTAAGGATGTCATACAGCATAGGGAAGGCAATTTAGCAAAGTAGTTCAGAGTATGCATTCTGGAGCCAACATGCCTGGGCTTAAATCCCAGCTCCACTACCTAATAGTGGTGAGTCTAGGCAAGTTATGGAACGTCACTGGGCTTCAGTTTTCTCCATCTATAAATAGGGATTATAATAGTGCCTACCACAGGGGATTATTGCGAGGATCAAAGGAATTAATATATACATAAAGTGCTTAAGACCGGGCCTGCCCTGCCTCCATAAGGGGTAGCTATTATCATCATCATCATCACATGCCAGGCATTGTTCCAGGCCCAAGGACACACCTGCAGTGGATGATGGGATGTGCCACCAAGACCTGGCCCCTATCAGGACATAAGTACCCATTCCAGCTACAGGATATTGGTTGTCCATGGCTCTCAACTGAGTCCCTCCCCATGAATCACACTATCCAATAAAGAGCTCCCTTGCCCATGATTACACCTCCTGCTCCTGGGGGCAAACTGTATCCAGTCACAATTCAAGCTCCAAGCTCCAGGCTGACACCTCTGTTCTGATGGCTTTGCAGTCCACTCTCTCCCTCTGTCCACTCCTGCTTCCTTCATACTCCTACAGATATTGCTCCTAAAAACATCCCCAAATGAGCCTCAGAATCTGTTTCTAGGGAAATATGATATAAGACCATAGATTTAAAAAATGAAACCATCCCTGCTCTTCTGGAGTCTACACTGTAATGGAAAGGCATGCCATAGTACATAAACAAATAAGACATTTCAGATTGTCCCCAAACTCATGTGGGAGATTGTGGCTTGTGTGCAGGACCCAGTTGGTATCTCCACCAGTGCCCCAGGGTGGTGAGAGATCAGGTGACCTCAGCACTGAGGAGTGATGCTGAGTCGTGGCAACTCCTCCCCCATCCTGCCTACTTAACCAGCTGGTGCAGAGAAGAAACAGAAAATCACCTCCCTCCCTGCTTCTTTGATGAATAGGAAATCCAGCCACCCACATGGTAGCCCAAGGAGCCCTCAGGTGCTCCCCTTTTCACCATTATCTCCCACAGCCAGGTAGCCGTTATTCCCTGTCACCACATTTTGCACTTGTGCCTACTTCTTTAGCTGTATCACCAAATGACCCCTCACACTGTCTCTCAGGCCAAACAAGTTTCCTCACAATGTCATTTCTGTTTCTTGCTCCTTTTACTACATCTACTGGTCTTCTGACAGCAGGCATCTGGCTGTAGTTGAGTGTCTTCTGAAAAAGAACCAAACCAATCAGGCAAAGTTGGCTCAAGCTCTGAGCTTTGCCACTTCCAAACAAAGTTGGCTCAAGCTCTGAGCTTTGCCACTTCCAAACAGACTCACCTCTCTGAGTCTGTTTTTTCATCTGTGAATGGGGATCACCCTACTCGCCACCCAGGATCTTGTGAGGATGCAACGAGGAGATGCACAAAAGGCACCTGGCACTGCCTGGTACATCATCTCTTCCACTTCTATGCAAACCTACTTTGCCTGCAGCAGGTTTCCATGCTGTGTCCCATTTTCATCAGGCATCCTACCTCATGAGCTTCAGAGACATCTAGAAGACATTTACCTTCTAGTGTTTAAATGCCACATCCCTTACCCCAGCTACACAGATATCCCAGGCAGGGCATGGTGCCCCCAAGAGTCCTGAACATCCCTCCTCCACTCTGTTCACTCTGTATCCTCTGCTCTCACAATTTGTTCTGGGGATGTTTCTGCTGCTGCTTTACCTTTAGATAAAAACCCATTATACCTGGCATCATGGCTTCTCTCTGGTCCAAAGCACTGTTCTCAGTCAGCACCATGAGAGGCCCCTGGTCATCACTTAGGGCCCATTATCCCCTCTGATGCCACAGATGAGGCAGTTTATAGCTTCCTCCTAGTCTACATGGTCTAGATCAGTTAAAATGGCTGTTTCCTGAAGCCATAAGCTTTCAAAACAAATGATGACTTTGTAATTAATTAAACAAAACTATAATGTAAACAATTTAAATTAGGCAATTTAGAATACCTGTATCAGAATCCATACATATATCCATAGTCATATAAATAAAACGATTTATTTGCAAAATTCCTTGAGAGAATTTTTTTTTTACAACTTAAAATAATAGTTTATTATTTATTTTTCTTGGTTCTTTTTTTTAAATTTAATTGTATTATTAGTTTCAAGTATAAAGTACATTGGTTAGATATCTATATAGTTTATAAACGATCCCCTAATTGCTCCTTCTCTCCTCTGGCTCTCCACCTAGCCAATATATTAATGCTAACTGCACTCCCTGTTTCCCATCCTTGTTACCACCAATCAACTACTAATTTATACTTCTTTAACCCTTCACCCCATTCTCCCAGTCCCCCAACCCACCTCCCCTCTGGCCGTCACCAGATTGTCCTCTATATTTCTGAGTGTTTTTGATTAGTTTGTTCTTTTTGTTTCTTAGATTCAAATTTTAGTGAAATCATATGGTATTTCTCTTTCTCTGTCGTACTTATTTCACTCAGCATAATAACCTCTAGGTCCATCCATGTCTTTGCAAACGGTAGGATTTCATTTTTTTAATGGCTGAGTAATATTCCATTGTATATATGAACCATGACTTCTTTATCCAATCATCTGTTGATGGGCATTTAGGTTGCTTCCATACCTTGGCAATTGTAAATTGTGCTGCCATGATCATAGAGGTGCATAGATCTTTACGAATTATTGTTTTGGTTTTCTTTGGATAAATACCCAGAAGTGCAATTGTTGGGTCAAAAGGTATATCCATTTTAAACTTTTTGAGAAACCTCCAGACTGTTTTACATAGTGGCTGTACCAATTTGCATTCCCACCCACAATGTATGAGGGTTCCCCTTTCTCCACATCCTTGCCAACACTTGTTGTTCTTTGATTTATTGATGATAGCCATCATTGATGATAGATAGGTGTGAGGTGATATCTCATTGTTGTTTTAATTTGCATTTCTCTGATGATTAGTGACATTGAACATCTTTTCATATGTCTATTGGCTATCTGTATTTCCTCTTTGGAGAAGTGTCTGTTCAAGTCTTATGCCCATTTTTTAATTAGATTGTTTGCTTTTTTGTTGTTGAGCTGTATGAGTTCTTTATATATTTTGGATATTAACCTCTTATCAGAGGTATCATTAGCCAATATCATCTCCCAATTAGTTGGTTGTCTTTAGTTTTGTTGATTGTTTCCTTTGCTGTTCAAAAATTTTTTAGTTTCATGTAGTTCCATTTGTTTATTTTTTCTCTTGTTTCCTTGCCCGGGGAGATATATCCAAAAAGAAATTCCTATTAGTAATATCAGAGAGTTTACTGCCTATGTTTTCTTCTAGAAGTTTTATGGTCGCGAGTCTTACATTTAAGTCTTTAATTCATTTTGAATCTATTTTTGTATATGGTCTAAGAAGGTGGTCCAGTTGCTTTTCTTTTCTTATTATTTTGCATGTATCTGTCCAGTTTTCCCAAAACCATTTATTGAAGAGAATGTCTTTACTTTATTGTATGTATATTCTTGCCTCCTTTGTCATTTATTAAGTGAGCATATAGGCATGGATTTATTTCTGGGCTCTCTATTCTGTTCTATTGGTCAATGTATCTGTTTTTATGCCAATATCATGCTGTTTCGATTACCGTAGTGTTGTAGCATAGTTTGATGTCAGGTAGTGACATCAAACTTTATTCTTTATTCTTCTTTCACCAACTTTATTCTTCTTTCTCAAGATTGCTGTGGCTATTTGGAGTCTTCTATAATTACATATAAATTTTAGGATTATTTGTTCTAGCTCTCTGAAAAATGCTGTTGTTATTTTGATAGGGATTGCACTGAATTTATAGATTGCTTTGGGTAGTATGGCCATTTTAACAATGTTGATTCTTCCTACCGATGAGCACGGTATATACTTCCATTTATTTGTATCTTCTTCAATATCTTTTTTCAATGACATACTTTTCTGAGAACAGTTCTTTTACCTCCTTGGTTAATTTGATTCCCAGTTATTTTATAGTAAATAGGATTGATTGTTTTCTTAATTTCTCTTTCTGAAAGTTCATCATTGGTGTATAAAAATGTCATTGACTTCTGAATATTTATTTTGTAACCTGCTACTTTACTGAATTAATTGATCAGGTCTAATGGTTTTTTTGGTGGAATATTTAGGGTTCTCTATATATAGTATCATGTCACCAGCAAATAACAAGAGTTTTACTTCTTCCTTTCTAATTAAAATACCTTTTATTTCACTTTCATGTCTTATTGCTGTGGCTAAGACTTCCAATACAATGTTGAAAAGTAGTGGTGAAAGTGGACATTTTTGTCTTGTTTCTAATCTTAAGGAAAACATTTTTAGCCTTTCCCCCATTGAGTATGTTAGTTGTAGGTTTGTCATACATGGCCTTTATTATGTTTAGGTATGTTCCCTCTATTCTCATTGTGCTGAGAGTTTTTATCATAAACGGATGCTGAATTTTGTCTAATGCTTTTTCTGCATCTATTGATGTGATCATATGGTTTTTAGCTTTCAATTTGTTAATACGGTGCATCATGTTGATTTGCGAATATTGTACCAACCTTGCATCCCAGGAATAAATCCAACTTGATCACGATGTATGATATTTTTAATGTATTGCTGAATTCGGTTCGCTAATATTTTGTTGAAGATTTTTGCATCAATGTTTATAAGGTATATCAGCCTATGGTTTTCTTTTTCTTTCTTTTTTTCTTTCTTTTTTTTTTTTTTTTTGTAATGTCTTTGGTTTTGAAATCAAGGTAATGGTGGCCTCATAAACAGAGTTAGGGAGCCTTTCCTCTTCTTGAATTTGAATAGTTTGAGAATAAGTGTTAATTCTTCTTTGAATGTTTGGTAAAATTCACCTATGAAGCCATCTGGCCCAGGACTTTTGTTTTTTGGGAGGTTTTTGACTACTGATTCTATTTCATTGATGATAATCAGTTGGTTCAGATTTCCTGTTTCTTCTTGACTCAGTCTTAGGGGAGTGTATGTTTCTAGGAATGTATCCATTTCTTCCAGATTGTCCAATTTGTTGGCATATAATTGCTCATAATATTTTCTTGTGATCCTTTGTATTTTGTGGGATCCATAGTTATTTCTCCTCTTTCATTTCTGATTTTAATTATTTGAGTCCTTTCTATTTTTATCTTGATGAGTTTGGTTAAGGGTTTGTCAATTTGTTTATCCTGTCAAAGAAATAGCTTTTGGTTTCATTAATCTTTTTTTTTAATTTTTAAATTTTATTTAGTTTCAAATATACAGTACATTGATTAGACATCTATATAGTTCGTACAATGATCCCCATAATTGCTCCCTCCCTCCCCTGACCCTCCACCTAGCCAACGTATTAATGCTAACTGCATTCCCTGTACGTGCTTCCCATCCTCGTGACCATCTATCAGCTACTAATTTGTACTTCTTTAACCTCTATCATCTAGCCATTTTTTTCCCCTCTCTCATTAATCTTTTGTAATGTTTTTCTAGACTCTATTTTTTTTCTGCTCTAATCTTTATTGTTTCTTTCTTTCTATTCAGTTTGGACTTTGTTTGCTGTGCTTTTTCTAGTTATTTTAAGAACTAGAGTCTGGTTTTGGAATCAAGATAGATTAGATTAGATTGTGTGTTTGAGCTTTCTCTTGTTTCTTGCTATAAATTTCCCTCTTAGGACTGTTTTCTATATGTCCCATAGATTTCGAGTCGTTATGTTTTCATTTTCATTTGTCTTTAGATATCTTTTGATTTTTTCCTTTATCTTACTGATAACCCATTCACGGTATAGTACCATGATAACCCATTCATGGTATAGCCTCCATGAGTTTCTGTATTTTCCAGTTGTTTTCTTGTAGTT